CAGGGCTTTATTTTTTATTTTATTTTTTTAAATATACTATTTATTTATTTGACAGAGAGAGAGCAGAAGTAGGCAGAGTGGCAGGAAGAGGGAGAGGGAGAAGCAGGCTTCCCACTGAGCAGGGAACCTGATGTGAGGCTCTATCCCAGGACCCCGAGATCATGAACTGAGCCGAAGGCAGATGCTTAACTGACTGAACCAGCCAGATGCCCCAAAGGAGGGCTTTAGATTCCCTAAAGAACATAAAGATAAAACAAATTGGCATCCTACCCTTATTAGGAATTTAGCCAGTGAGGGACATAAGCCCTATGTAAAAATAATAGTGCAATTGTTTTATTGCATAAAAAAAGGAAAATATATTTACTGATGTCTTTTTTTTTTATAAAGATTTTTTATTTATTCATGAGAGAGAGAGAGAGAGGCAGAGATACAGGCAGGGAGAGAAGCTGGCTCCATGCAGGGAGCCTGATGTGGGACTTGATCTGGGGACTCCAGGATCACGCTCTGGCCCGAAGGCAGGCACTAAACCACTTAGCCACCCAGGGATCCCCTATTTAGGGATGTCTTATTATGTGTCAGGCAATGTGCTCTGTCATTGTGCACATGATGTCTCCTCAAATCCTCGCAACTACCCTGGGAGGTAGATTTTAGCAGAAATGAGCAAAGATCATCTTTAATTGAGGAAGAAACATTATTAAGGACTATGGGTACAAAGTCATCCAGTTTGCACAGCATGGGAGTATGAAGAAGTGTATCAGTAAGTGGATAGACTGGTAGAAAGTGGATCAGTAAGTGTAGAAAGGTAAGTTGGAGGCCAGGATGTAAGGGCATTTGAATGCCCAAAGAGAGTGTGGGCTTTGTTCCCTGGTGAAGGAACATGTTCAAAAGTTTTTTTTTGTTTGTTTTTTTAAGATTTATTTATTTATGACAGAGAGAGAGAGAGAGAGAGAGAGAGAGAGAGAGAGAGAGAGAGAGAGGCAGAGACATAGAAGGAGGGAGAAGCAGGCTTCATGCCGGGATCCCAATGCAGGACTTGATCCCAGGACTCCAGGATCGTGCCCTGGGCCAAAGGCAGGCACCAAACGCTGAGCCACCCAGGGATCCCCTGTTCAAGTGTTTTGAAAGGAGTCGAGAATGATCAGGACTGTGCTTCAGAGAGAGGTAGCCGGAAGCCTGTGAAGACCAGACAGGCACATGATATGACCTTGGTGAGTCAGGTGGACCTCTTTTGGAATCTGCATCTAAACAAATCAGTGTTTGCAGGCTTGTGCCTGCAAAGGCTTGGGGATGCAGGAATAAAGACAGCCTGCTCCCTGTTACTTGGGAGGGCAGAATTGAAAAAAAGTAGATTGTAGACAAGCAATGCTTTAGATGTATTAAAAAAAAAATGGCTTGAAGATAGAGACCTTGGTTTCAACCCCCAGTTCTGTGTATTCTGGAGCAATTTACTTATATAAAATTTCTGAGCCTTTGATTCCTTATGTTAAAAGGGGGCTAATAGCACTCACCCTAATGAATGGTTATGAGGATTAAATGAGGACACAAGACCAAGGTCTTTGGATGATAAAGTCAAAAAACTAGAGTCTGCTTGCTAGGAGAAAGATCTGAGTTTCTGTGCTCCTTGTGGCAGAAAAGGAATCCAAGCTGGGGCTTAGAAGGCTACTTGTTAGGAATGCTGCAGAAGGGGTTCTTACATCCCATAGGTGGCTCCCATCAAATGGCCTGTGGGGTCCTTTTTAAGTTCTATTTTTGTTACTCCCTGCAGGCTTTCTCATGCTTTCAAAATGTTCCTCTCCCCATTCATACTCATGGTACTAGTACCTGGCACAACTCATAGGTACTAAAGGTAAGCAATAACCACAGGAATCACTAAGCAGAAAATAGATACCTAGACCTACAGAGCTAATTCATGTTGAAACCTCAGGAGTTGTAAATGGATTTTTTCCATTAAGCCAGCTGGAATTCAGGATAGTGGGTAAACTCTGGATGTCTCCTCATCAGGCATCCTATTTCACTTCTGATACATTGTTCTAATCCTTTGGGGCTTCTCCAAGATACCTAGAGGTCAATAATACACACACACACACACACACACACACACACACACACACACATATACTTTTTTTTTAAAAAATGAAACATTATGATGAAGCTAAATGTAGAACAGAGGAGCTCTAACTCTTGTTAAGCGGGAGAAGAAGAGAGTTCAGGGAGAAGGAGGCTGAAATCTCACCCATTGGTTCTTTTCTTACCCACTTTGGAACCCTTGATTTCAATACTACTGTTCCAGCCCTGGCCTTGTTTTCAGCTTTCCTCTTTTGTTTTCTGGACTCTGATGGCAGCTGTTATCACTCCAGCTGCAGAAGGGATGGGAGGCAACTTCCTGTTATTCTATCCTGCCATCCCTGTGGGGGTGGGCCATTCCCTCCCCCATCTGCTGCGGATTGCAGAATGTGAGCCTGGATGCAGTCATCCTATGACCAGGGCTAGAAAAATGATTGGTAGCCACCCTGCCACTGTTCGAAGGCATTTGGGGAGCAAAGTAGGGAACAGGCACCACTGATAAGTGTGTTCCTAACTAAGGGAGGGGAAGGATGAGTGGCTGAGAGGTAGGTTAAGTGGTTTGTGCAGAAAATAAGGGTTGTTGCATGAATGATGGGAGAGTGGGAAAAGGGAAGGATTCTGGCCAAAGTATGAGTGAGAGAGAGAGAGAGAGAGAGAGAGAGACTTACGGTTTCTGGCTGTGGGATTATTTGGGTTCTGGGTGCATTAAGGAATGGAAGGTGATTAGGGGTGATATGATGATCCATTCTTCTATAGTCCTATATTTTTAGTGAGTCTTTTCTTTGAATCAGAATATAAGGAATACAAAGAGGATTAAGCATGGAACTTGCTTAATCCTGTGGGAAGGTAAGAAAATATATAAAACTGGACATATTTAATCATATGTTTATACCTCTGTACAATCTCAATAACCCTTACTATAATCTTTGATGTATTATCAACCCCATTTTATAAAGGAGGTGATCGAGGTTTCTGATGGCAAGTTTTAGTGACTTGCCCAGTTATACAGCAAGTAAGTGCCAGAACTGGGCAATGGGCCCCTAGCCCTCTTCTTTCCACTATAGCACACACAGAGGACTAGGACTTAGTTAGGCTTTGAGAGAGGGGCAAGACTTAACACGCAGAAGAGTGGGGATTCCAGCTAGGCCAGAAGGTGAGAATCAAGCAGGAGTATGTTGAGTAGACCAGTTTGGCTATAAGAGAGGGTCTCCTGGGAGCAAATTGGGAGATAAGGTGGGAAAGATAAATAGAGACCAGGTTCAGGAGTGTTTTAAATGGCTAGCTAAGAATTGCAGGGCAAGGGGGCCCTGATTTAGAGGGGAGGATGTTGATGGCTAAAGCAAGCTGTTTTAGAAAACTCATCTGGTGGTGATGCATAGAAAGACTTAGGAGTCTTTCTAAGGAGGTTGGGAAGTTAGGAGTTTGAAATATCATAGGTCTGACAACAGCATAATGGTGATAATAGAAAGTAGATTTATGAGATCAGAGGCCTGGGTCTGTGGATTTTTTTTCAGCATTATAGTGTTTGAATGAGTGTCCATTGAAAAAGTGGTTGGGGGGTCAAATGGATCTTGGTTTCAACCCCAGTCCTGGATGTTCTGGATTAATTTACTTACATTATCTGGCTGAGCCTTTGACTCCTTATGTTAGAATGGGGCTAATGACACTTTATCGGCTGTTAGGATTAAATGAGATACAACGTTTGATTCTGCACATCTATCTACAATTCTTGGCAGACTGGTGAAATGCAGATGTTGTCATCAACCGTAAAACAAACAATACAAACCAACAGAAAGCCAATACTCAATTCATTGTCCTTCCAGAAGATAATGGATAATACGCTATCTAGATCTCCTATAAATAGAGCCACGGTTCACCATGCAGTTCTGTCTTGGATCAGATATTAGGCAAATTGAAAGAACAGTCTCCTGAGGATCATTCTGTTCTGTTAGCCAAGGGGATTATACAGCATGATATCCGTCAAGGGTAAATGTTAGTTAATTCTTAATTGATAGCTCAGCCGCTGCAATTGGCTCCATTCAACAGTAATTATTCTCATGTGGCTGGTTGAGCTCAATTGGGAGACTCCCCCCCCTCCCCGCCCTTCAGTGGTGCATGAAAGCAACAGCCTTCAGGTACTTAAAAAGGGTAAATAATAATTTTTCTTTGGAGGCTCAATTTTTATTTGTCCAGAAGCTCGTGGGGTGTGATTTTTCACCGCTAAATGCAAAAGCAGCACATGGCTGCTAAGGCCACCAGTTAACCCATTCAGAGCTGGGGGGGTGGGGGGGGTGGGGTTGCAACCGGTTTCTGGGATTCCCTCCCCAACCTCTCCGGCGCTTTGGAAGTTCTAAATTCCCCATCTAAGGGAACACGCAGCAGCCCCAAGATAATAAAAGGGGGCAGCAGAGCGAGCAGGCTTGCTTTACTTGCCGGACTTGGAGCTAGCCATTTTCCGCTCCACGCGCCGCGGGACTCGCACTTGCCCGGGTCACAGAGGAGGCAATTGTTTCTCCCTTACCAAGGGGGGCTCGGCTGGGTTAGTTTCGTTTCCCATCTAGGATGTAGGAAAACACGCCCAGAGAAGTTTAAAGGCGCTTGCCCGTGCCATTTACCCCCTTTCCTCAGAGATAGCAGGAAAGGCAGCATTTTTTTTTTTCCCCCTTTTTCCTCCTCCTCTACCACCACCACCACCACCACCTCCACCCACTCCCAGCCCCAGGCTGGCTCCGCGAGGAATGTCTAGAGCAGGCGACTCCTCTGAGTGACGGCCGCGGCGCCCAATCAGCGGGCGCGCGGGCGCGGCCGGCCCCGCCCCCTTACGCACGCTCTTTGGCTAATTCCCGCAGGGAGGGAGGAGAGAGAGCGAGTGGGAGGTGGGAGGGGGAGGTACCTGGAGCTGGGAGTGATGTCAGCTCGCAGCAGCTCGGTGCCTGCCCGGATTCCTGACATGGTGTAGGGCCGAGAGGGTGGGGAAGGCGGGAGCGGGACGGGACGGGCTTCGCGCTGGGCGCCTGCGGCGGGGCCGCCGTGCCGGGGCTTTGAACTCGGACGGAAGGTGAAGCAGAACTTTTGGAACAAGTGCCCGGCGGCTCGCACCCCCCAGGTAAGGGCGTGGGGCTCCCCTCCGGGACCGGAGGGAAGTGGCACCGTTGTGCGGTTGCAGCTGCTCCTCCTCTTCCCCGGGTCGGTTTCCTTTCCTTACTCACTCCAGGTTCCCAAGGGGCGGGGGGTGGAGGGGGCGACGGGGGACGGGAACTTTTTTTTGGGGGTGGGGGACAGAGCGTAACTCCTGGGGCTCCCAACTAGCTTTGATGTGAAAAGTACCTCCAGGATGGACATGTAAGGTATTGTCTGTGCCCTTCGACCCCCACACCCTAGTCTTCCAGCAATACCTTAGAACCCCAATTAGAGAAGTGTGTGTGTGTGTGTGTGTGTGTGTGTGTGTGTGTTGGGGGGCGGTGGTATTTAAAAATGTCACAAGTTTATGAAATTTCGACTCAAAAATTATGCCCTTTGAGAGAATGAAAGGTTTTTTTTTTTTTTTTTTTTTTTTAGTTTCGCGGTGGCTTGTTACATGTTGATTTAAATGAAAGGATATCATTGATATTCTTAATATTTTTATCTATCAACCTAAAAAAATACTTTTATATCAACTCCCCCCCCAAAAAAAAATCCTTTTATATAGTCCAGTCAGGATGTGAGAAATTCACTTGGGGTGTATTCATGATGAGCTGCGGGGAAAACTCGTCCCTTGGGGGCACACTTCTGAAACTCCAACTCCTTTTCACTCTGACATTCTCCCTGAGAATCCCTTTCATTGCCAACTTTGTGATCTGGAGGGGTTAGGGAAGCTGCTGAGAATCTTCAGATCTGCTTTCTGTGGCTGCTTGAGAAAATGATGAAGGCTGGTAGTTGGGTTTTCAAGGATTGTGTGTGTGTGTGTGTGTGTGTGTGTGTGTGTGTGTGTGTGTTTTGGAGAAGCGAGTTTTAACAGGGAAACGAGGTGGAAGGCGTGGCATGCAAACTCTTAATTATAGGAGCATGGATTTTTCAACATGTAGGACCAAAACAAATCCTTCGTTTCAATAAGCAGCACAGAGAGCAATAGAAGAACGTGATTTAGTGTCCAGGTTTAGGTATTTAGGGAAAGCAATTTGCCGTTGGGAGGAAAAGGTATTTTGAGAAGTGGAAGTATGGAATTCTGATTTTTATTTCCTGTTTGAAACCCTTTTTTCCTGTTCGGAGATCTTGTGTGCTCAGGTCACTTTTTGGTTGTGAGGGGCTTTCTGGGGAACAGAACTCCGTAAACTGATTCAGAGCCCTCGCTTACCAGTGCTTGAGGCCCCTTTCTTTTGGAGAAGGGAAGAAAAAAACCACCACCAAAAACCCACATATGGGCTGAGACTTGGGAGTCAGGTTTCCCTTTTCATTCACCACTGTTCTCAGCAGTGAAGATCCTTCTGTTGCCAGGTCAGGTGTGAACTTCATCGTGAGGCAAAAGCTGCATCCCAGGTGCCTTGAATGAAAGGGCGTTTCCAGGAGGAGAAAAGGAGGAAGCCGCATCACATCTTATAAACCCAAGGAGGGAAATAGGGAACACAGGACTCATAGATGGGATTCTCCATCTTTGTAGCCCATGACAATCAGATTTCAGAGCTAAAAGATGTGTTTTGTTTTGCTGTTGTGTATAGAACACCTGGGTCTGTATTATTCTTAGTTCTTGAAAAAATTAGCACAGAGTGGATAAACAGGCTTTTTGCAAAGAGAAGATGTCTTTTACTGAAAAGATCAGAACACTTGTATTTCGGTTTGTGTTTTGGGGCTAAGAAATAGCAATTGCTTAATAGCTCTGATATAGTGGTGAATGGGTTTTTTCTATTTATGTTCTATGGGAAGTACATAAAACAGAACTGTATTTTCCAGTGGACTTTTTTTCAGTGGGAAAGAGGAGGTAATGTGGAATTCCTATCGGCTAAGGTGAGCTCTTGGTTGATAGTGTTCAAACTGCAGTTTGTAACAACCAAAACAACTAGCAAGCAAGGGCCCAAACCGTTTCCAGCCCCACTCATTGAGCCCACTCAAGTGAAGAGCATCTTTACAATGTTGTCCTGATGTGCCAAATTCAAATTTATGCTTTCTTTCCAGGAAACTAGTTCTGGCTTAGGGACTTGAATATGCCGATGCTTTAAATTTTTTTTCACAGTTTGAGTAATAACTAATTTTATGTACTTAGTTTTAACCCATATTTATTTCCTTTGTGTTTATAAGGCAGATATGATCCAGTAAAGCAAAGTGCTTTTAAAGGACAAAACTTGAAAGGTAGTTGGATTATTGAGAAAGGTAGGATCAGGTTTTGGTTAAATTCTCTTTAACCAGCAAATATCATACTTCTGATAGTTACTTTTAAAAAGTAGGATGGAGTACCTCGGTGGCTCAGTTGGTTAAGCATCTGTCTTCCGTTCGGGTCCTGGGATCAAGCCCTGCGCCCCGCTCTAGTTCAGTGGGGAGGCTGCTTATACCTCTTCTTCCCCCTGTTGTGCCCTCTCTCATCACTCTTTCAAGTAAATAAAGAAAATCTTTTAAAAAGTAGGATAATCTGGGATCCCTGGGTGGCGCAGCAGTTTGGCGCCTGCCTTTGGCCCGGGGCGCGATCCTGGAGACCCGGGATCGAATCCCACATCGGGCTCCTGGTGCGTGGAGCCTGCTTCTCCCTCTGCCTATGTCTCTGCGCCCCCCTCTCTCTCTCTCTCTGTGACTATCATAAATAAATAAAAATTAAAAAAAAAAGTAGGATAATCTGGCCTTTGTGGGCAGAGTGTTGACTTGAAATACAGGGGACAACATAGTTCTAGATCACTAGTGCCTAATTTCAAGGGCATCATAGACATTTTTTGGAAACGAGTGAGGGAGAACTTAACTGTTTATGTAGCTTTTTTGTCACTCACTGTACCAGCATGAGATAAATTAGAACAAGGTCACTTTTTCCCTGTTACTGACTAGCTGACTCCCTTTTAAAAACGTGCCTTTCATATTCAGGAAATGTTTGTATTTTTATAGTTAATTTATATTATGTTGGTAATTTGTTACATTAAATTAACTTGAGGTTTTCACCTGCCATTTAAAAAGGTTCCCAGGGGTGCCTCAGCGGTGCAGTTGTTAGAGCATTAAACTCTTGGTTTCAGTTCAGGTCATGGTTTCGGGGTCCTGGGATTGAGCCCTACATTGCGTTTCACACTTGATGGAGAGTCTGCTTGGGATTCTCTCCCCCTCTTGCCCCTCTCCCTTCTTGCTTGCTCTCTCTAAAAAAGGAAAAAAAAAAAAAAAGTTCCCAAATAGCACATTGTTCGAACTGTTAACTTAAAGAAGATCTTATTCATCTGATTCTGTCTTTTCAAAGATATTATTGCATGTTTCTGGCCTGATTTGAATTACCTTTTCAAAACATGAATGAGTGAATTGATGACTATTAATTCACATTTGGGTGTGTCTCTTTAATTCTTTATTAAAGAAATAATGCTTCAAAGTGGAAACATAGGGCACAGATATTGCATAATCATGGTCTTTTTATTCCCAGAGATTTCCCTAGAAAGCCATATTCTGAAATTAAGAAAAAAGAAAAAGTCATAGTTGAGCAGCCAATCGTGAAATATTTTAGGGAGCTGGGATTATTATTATTATTTTTTAACCATGGTTGAACAGATGGGTGTAAGTATGAGATGCAAAGCTGTTGAGATTAATGACACTGGGTGGTGTTTGGGGATAAATGGAACAATGTGTCTTCGGCCAGTGGTTCCCTTCACCTAAAGGCTGATAATTTCACAGTTAAATCAGTCATCAAACTGTTCAAAAATAGACACTGTCCAAAAACTGCTCTGGGCTTGTGCAGTTGCTTCATCTCTAGTGTATTATGCCATTTTTTCCCTCAAAGTCCTCACTGTGCATGTCTGAACCTTTTTCCTAGTCGAAAAGCCTACAGCTTTTGTCACATATATTACAACCACAGAGACTGATGTTTAATTAATTGGAGGTAATGGCTTAAAAAAATGGCTAAACTGAACCAACCCACCCTACAAAAATACAAAGACTCTTCTATTTCTTTTATGCTGTTTATTTTAAATATAAACGTTATTGATGCCAGTTTGGCATAAGTTGACAGTGTTTCAAAGGCCAAGTGGTGAGGATTACTTTTGCTTCAATATTTTTTTTCCATTTTGAAGGGTCTAAAAGGCCAAACAACTGGATTTTAGATTTAAAAATGGGCTTTTCCAGGAGTTTTATGTTTGAACACTTATTAGGCACTTTTGTGAGGGAGAGGTGGGTCTGAGTGAAATGTGTTCTGGTCTGTACCCGTTGAAGAGTTTCTATTTCTGAAATATGGCTTTGGACTCTGAGTGGTCCTGGTGGGTGTGTTGTCACAGTTTGTGACTGGACTTGGGTTTTGTGTCTCACTAGAACTTGCTGTGACTCACATTTTGACTGGCCTACATGTGAATCCTTGTTTTTGTTGGCAAGCATAATGAGTTCAGAATAGAAAGATCATTTGGTGGTTTCTGTACAGTGGTGTACCTAAAAATGTCCATGACTGAAGGAATTGTACAAACTTCAATTGTAGTTAGTATCAGTCATTCTGGCAAAGGTTCATGTCTCGACTATGAATCCTGATGGAAGAAGATCAAGTACTGTAATATTTGGGGCTGGCTGTAGCTTTTATGAACACCCTCTGAACTCCAGAGGAAGGCTAAGTATTTTCACCTCTCTTTTAATTTAGGGAAATCAAGCATTTGACATAAAAACAGACACAAGTTCAAGAGAGCAGGTGTGTTGATCTCTCACATGTATGTGTTTATTAAAAAGAGCAAGCTTAATTTTACCTGGTACGAGAGAGTAAAGATGCAGTTTTTATTGGCAAGCTCATTCATAAATGAGTGGCCAAATTCCTTAGGCAAGCAAGGGAGTTCTTGGGAATAAGTAGGAAGCCTATTGGGAAATGGGTTAATTCTTTCATGTTCTGCATGTAATACTCTATCATATCACTAAATATGCCTATATTACCTTGTATTTATGTAGAACCTAGCTCACAGGATCTAGTCCTCTTTTGCTCGC